CATTCCACGCTTATTGCAGCGAACCACCTTCATTCCTTTCCTATTCAATTGATGTGATGTTAGATCCACTCGAACTACTTTTCCCCACGAACTGCTACTTTATGGAAGCAACTCCCAAGATGATGCTTCCCCGATCAATACAATCTTGGGCCTTCTACAGTGAGAAAACTATTGTAAAAAAATTCCTACTTTCGCATCTTGCATTCATATCATACACCTTATCTAGTAAACCTCTATCTTGAGTGCTTCTTGGAATTTGTATTGGGTGATTTTAATAATAAAAAACTAAAACTAAAACTTGTGATTTTTACTAAGTTCCACTTAGTCTGCTACAAGACCAAATCCAGAAAAAAAAGGATTGTCAGTGAATAGGAATTGGATCATTTTCTGTTAATTCAACCCAAAATATTATTTTCCCGGGAATAAAAAGTATTTATACTTACTAAAATTCACACCAAATTCACCCAGAGCGCAACCCTTCGATTGCACTTCCGTTGGGTTGACCTTTGCGACTGCCCCAAATGTGGGCAACTCGAGTGGAATATTTCGAAGTGTGGGCCACCTTCTTCGCGCTCACCCTAATAACCAAGACAAAAACAGATTTTTTCCCTGTAAGTAACTCGAATATCATCTGCACTTACGTAATGGGAATAAACTGATTTTTTGGCAATTTTTCATTGTGGTTACGAGGCAAGTTAAACAAATTTGGATTTAAAATTTATAATTTTAAAAGAGTGCCAAAAATTTAATAAAACAAACAAACAAACTTTGATTTAAAATTTATAATCTCTTGTGCTGAATTACTATTCGATAAGTAACTTTGCATTATTTTGGATGAATTGACAGAAAATAAACCCAGGAATTATTAAAAGATTAACTGGAAGCATTACTTGATGACATGTACAATGCAAAATACTTTGCCAAATGATTTTTCTATAGAAACGCATTGTAAACCAGCAACAAACGGATGTTATCGGTCAGAATTAATGCTAGAGTTGCTTACAGAATCTCTCTCTCTCTCTCTCTCTCTCTCTATATATATATATATATAATAGCTGGCCACTCGTATACCCGTCTACTAGGGCGGATAGACAATCCCTATTGCAGATGCTCGCTCAGGCACGTTTGGGTTAGTTCAACACACACAGTGCCAGCCTGTGGTTTATACTGAAGCTATACTGAGCAGACCATAGTTACAGACCTGGGAAGAGCATATTATCTAGCGTGATCAACAATCTGAACAAGGCCAGCACGCACGTTCACGATGTCTTGTGAATTCGTATTAGAACACACACACACACACACACACACACACACACACACACACACACACACACACATATATATATATATATATATAATTCCAGTCGGGTGCATTACACTTACTTATTTAATTTCTAATACTCTTGGGGAAGGTATAAATTCTCTTCTTCTTCCCTCCTCATCTATGGTTAAATAGCAGGACAGACTGGGTTCGATATCTTTGGGTGGCAACCGGTCTAGGAGAAGGAAAACTCTGAATTCAAAACAGATCTCGCGAGGATTGGCCGCCGTCAGGCTATTTGCCCAAGAAACCACACAATCGTTGAAGTATGCATAGTACCCTTACGACCAAAAATACATATAACAACGTCGATAATATAAATGCATTGCTATTGATTTTTCTATAGAGAAGGTTTGCAAATTATTTTAATAGATAAATACATTATAAATAATTTTAATATAAATAAATAAATATTAGTTAAAAGATCAGGAACAAGGGTAATCATTGCTGACAGGATAGAGGTATAATGTAAACACACTGCTAGAATTATATATATATATCAAGTGAAAATTTACAAAAATACTGAGGATACTAATCCTAAAACATACATAGGTGCTACTCAGGATAAATTTAAAAAAAGATATTATAACCACACGAGTAGTTTTAAGAATGCAAAAATTAAACATAGTACCACACTATCTACCTATGTATGGAAAACCAAACAAGATAATATAGACCCGATCCTTAAATGGGAAATATTAAAAAAATGCCCAAAATATAAAGCAGGCCATAAATTTTGCAAATTATGTGCTGAGGAGAAATTAGCCATAGCTTTATATGATCAACCCAATCAACTATTAAACTCTAAAACTGAAATTCTCAATGTATGTAGACATAAAAAATCTTGGCTACTAAATTAGACGTTTTCCCGTTATTGACTTTCCACTGAGTTTTTTTTTTTTTTTTTTTTTGTTGAATAAATATTTCCCCCCACCCACTTAGGTTGTTTTTTTTGTTTTTTGTTTTTATTTTGTCACGTGGTATGATTTTAGCTATCACCTATAAATATGTGTGTTTCTCTTTGCCTCGTTAGCCAAACTTTCCCTGACGATCCGTTTAGGTGAAACCTAGGTAGGTTTGTCTGGCTCACTAGATGTATCTATATATATATATATATATATATATATATATATAATATAATATAATATATTAATAGTAATACTCGGTTGTAAAAAAAAGTTCGGGCAGCCCAACTTGCAGATGTCAAAACAAATCGGTACCCCAGAAAAAATTGGAAAAAAAAAAGAACGAAAAACATTTGAGCATGGCGAAACAAATCGTCCAGTCCTTTAAGTAAGAAAAAAAAAACCTAAGTCGTAAGGCTAAAACGTAGAGGGCTCAATACGCTAAGTTAAATAAAATAAATCCTAAAGAGCCAAGAAAACCTCCCTAGGTTTCACCTGAACGGATCATCAGAGTAAGCTATATATATATATATATATATATATATATATATATATATATATATGTTATACGGAAACACACCTATTCTATTGTTAATAGACTCTCCCACATATAATAAGTAGTAGTAGTAGCAGTCGCCAGTGAGCTCAGTGAGTTGGTGAGTCGATGTCGGACATTAAAGTATCAACCACCACAACTAGATTGCTGCGTCATTAACTATTATTTCAAGTTCCTAACGTTTTGTACGTCGAACCATTTTTAGGACCGACTTAGTGCAATAGAAACATCCACTGTGAAACTACTCTACAACACATTGGAGACGAGGGATTCGTTCTCATACGAAGGAAGAAAAATTTTTCGTTCACTCTGCAACAATTTGGCGACGAAGGATTCGGAACTCATACGGAGAAAAAAAATATTCGTTCACCTTAAACAACTTTAGCAACCAGGATTCGTTCTCATACGAAAAAAAAATTTCGTTCACTCTACAATATATTTATATAATATTTACATATATATATATCTATATCTATAATATAATATATATATATATATTATATATATATATATATATATATATATATATATATATATATATATATATATATATATATAATGTAAATGCACTGCTAACAATATAAATGCATTGAAAGTTTCAGGGGGCATGATTAACTCACGGTCAAAATTTTGAAGAAAGAGAAGGGAAGAAAAGAGGAGAAAAGGGACAAGGCGCAGAGTGGCGGGAAGAGTGGGAGAGAGTAAGAGATAGAGAGAAAAGGGGAGTATATTGACAGCGAGAGAGAATGAGATTGGAGATAGAGATAGGGAGAGATAATGGTAGAGAGAAGGAATGAGTGAGGCAGACTGACGCACATAGCCACGCCCAAATCCGTATATATTGTATGTGTGTTTGTACACAAACTCACGTTTTCGTCTCTACTTAGATGGGGCGTAATTGGCCGAATCGTCTCACGTATTTGACCTGAGATCTCGGTTGAAATTATCGATCAAGGCTCATTCGTCAGAGACTCAAAGGAAAATTGATTGAGATTACACAGGAACCGTCTTTGACTAGTCCTCTCTCTGAAGTGAGCTCCCCTCCTCTTACGAAAGAAACTACAACGGTAAACATAATCCATATTAAACGAGTATCAGTCAGGGTTTACAGACAATAAACACGACGTCTCGGGTAAACACGATGCAAAGTTTTTTTATTCTATTTTATTGGATGGAAAGTTCCAAGAAGAAGTACGTTGCCATCTTTAAATATCCTTTCCAAAGAAAGACGCACTGATGCACACCAACAGGCAATGAACACACAGCCGTACACATGATAGACACACAGACAGGGGCAAAGACACAAATTGATTGTTTTTTGCTTGGCGGTATATTAATATCTCTGTGCGTTATTTAAAGCCGAAATCTAAATATATTTTACGCAATTTCATTGTTTTGGAGTTAGTATCGATTTTAATGATAAAATCTTACTATTTAACCCATAGTTAGTGTTATACTGGAACACACCTATTCTATAGTTAATAGACTCTCCCACCTATAATAAGTAGTAGTAGTAGTAGCAGTCGCTCAGTGAGTTGGTCAGTCAGTCGATGTGGGACCCTCGAGGTGGTGCAATGGTTAGCAAGCTTGTCTCGCTAGAACAATTACGACTTAGTGAGTTCGAACTTCACTGGGTGCCCCATACTTTCGGCATTGTACCACATCTGAGCTACGCTTGGAAAGTCACTGAGTCAGTCGATCGCGTCTCGACCGGCTGTTCGGTTGAACTCTCTGTCTTCGGGCGGGTAGGAACCCGGACGAGGAGTCTCTTTCGAGGAGGTAAACCGACCCTGAACCCGTTTATACGGGTTCAATGGGCATATTTTTGGGCCGAGCCCACGGGCTCGGAGATCCCACGGGCTCGGAGATCCCACGTTAAAAACAGCCTTCTGCCACATGACGCCCCAGTGGAGAGGGGGGGTGACTGAATATCTTCAGTCGATGTGGGACACTACGAGTATCAGCGACCACCACTAGATTTCACTGCGTCATTAACTATTATATCAAGTTCCTAACGTTTTGTACGTCGAACCTATTTTAGGACCGACTTAGTGAAATACAAGCCTCCACAGTGAAACTACTCTATAACAGTTAGGGAGAAGAGGTGAATTCGTGCCTTTACTAAGTGAATATAACGAACCCAACTGGAACTGAAACTCGGTTTTCCGATTCAAAATTCCGAGCCGTTATTCATTACACCACCCGCACATCCAAGCTTACAACACTTGGTATTCCCAACAGGTCACCCATCTAGGTACTGACTAGGTTTGACGTTGCTTATCTTCGTTGATCGTATGGGAATCGGTGTTTCAACGAGATGTGGCCGTAAACCACAAAGACATAGGGACACACACAACCACGCGCATGCGCACACACATACACAACACAAAAACAAACTTACGTATAATATTTGATATATTCTTCTCTTTCAGTCTCATTCCATATGGCGCTTTGGACTGATTCAAACTTTCAGCTATATAAAAAAACCAGGATGTTGCCTAAATGTTCTTAGCTAAAACACTGACAGCACATGGTTCTTGAAAATGACTGAGGTGGTCGAATATGCTTAAGCAAAACAACATTGCAAGCATGAAATTCAGACAGTTTATCCACAATTTCAATCCTGATATCATCATCAAAACTTTCGTTTCGATTTGAGGTCATGAATTAACATGTTCTCTTGTCTTCAGTGACATTGTCTACTGATTCGACAATATTTTGTCAGCTTTCTTTGTCCTTTGCGAGTTCGCGGATCTGTTACAGATCTTCCTTGATTGTAAACTTCTCCAAAGGGAAATTCGGATCTTTCTGCCTTCTTCTTTGAATGTCTCCGTTCAGCGTTGTGACTATGGTGGTTCTTGGATGACCTCTGAACTTTTTGGAGTCAGTCTTTTCAAAGTAAAACTCTATGGTTTTCTTAGCTGAGCATTCTGGATCCATTCGCAAAATATGACAAAGAAGTCCGAATATTGTCTTTCTCAGTATGAAACGTCTTAGATAATCCTGATATACAACATTTTAGTCGAAAATTGGAAAAAAAATACAATAAAAATTCAATAAACAAACTTCCTGGGTGAATTTAATAAAAGTTATTTGGATAAAATACTTGGCGATTAAATATAGCTTACATGAAGTGGAAAGATTATATTGAATCAATTGCTAGATCATCTGCTAGGAAAGTTGGTTCACTGTGTCGTTCGAGACATGTTTTCTCCCCAAAATACCTTCTATATTTATAAGTCTACCAATCGGCCTTGCTTTTAATGTTGCTGCCACATCTGTTCTGGTGCTTATTTAGAGATTTTTGATCAAAGAACAATGTGCAATGTTATCGGTTCCTACACCGGATTTTGCCTCCAGTCACTTTCCCACCGACGTAATGTAGCTTCCTGTGCCTTTTTTATAAATATTTTCATTGTAATTGTTCGGATAAGCTTCCCACATCGTTAGCTCGACTTTACCAATTGAAGCTCAGTACTAGATTGGCAGTTAGCTCCCATCATATTGCAGTCGAAATAGCCTGATGTAACCGTAAGTTCTATGCTAACAGTTCCTCAAGGACACATGGCACAGTGGATAAAGGTATTGGTTAGATCCAATGACAGGACCCAAAGAGTGTAAGTTCAATACCCGGTTAAGGCAGTGGAGGATTTTCAGAGGGAAAATTAACAGGAGATAACTGATAACTGACATCCATTAAACATGGCACGTGGAACCAGAATAGTCTACCCCAGTGAGCGAAATAAAGGGTTCACTCTGACATTTAAACCACCTGAAGAAGGCCGGAGCGAACAACGGCCGAAACGGTGTGATAAATATGGCGACAAAGATGAAGACAATAGTTAGAATAATGTAAATAATGTACATAATACCTCATCTCAGAAATATAGACAGATAATGAAGAGCCGAAACTTTGTAATAAATATGGCGGCAAAGATGAGGACAATCGTCCGAATAATGTAAATAGTGTACATAATACCTCATCTCAGAAATATAGACAGATACTGAAAGGCCGAACCGTTGTAATAAATATAGCAACAAAAATGAGGACAATAGTCGGAATAATGTAAATAGTGTACATAATACCTCATCTCAGTAAAATAGACAGATACTAACAGTTCCTTCTCTCGCAGTTCTCGCTTGTGGAACTCTTTTCTGTCTACTTGCTTCTTAGTCAACTTTATTCCTCAAAAGTTTTAATGCAATGTCAATCAGGTTACTTCTTAATTCCTGTTCCTGTTGTGACGTTGTTAGGACCAGAATTAAAGACACAAGAGAGAAATTGTGTTAAACAAATATATTAACAGAATACAGTAATACAAACTTATACAAACGAGAGTGATACAGCAAGAACGTTCGGTCCGACTGTTAGAGCTGACTGCTGGAAACTTCACTCTCCAAAAGGCAGTAACTGCTCCTATTTATATCTGCAGAGAGACCATGCGTGCATGAGTAAATTAAGATAGCAGTTTATTTTCCTTTCTCCTTAATAATGTTTTTTTTTCTCTCAATTTCTTGCGTGTTTTTCTGTTCTTTTTTATTTTTTCACACTCTTATTTCTTAGTGGATTTATTACTTTGCTTTGGGTAAAAGTATATATATATATATATATATATATATATATATATATTGTTTCTGTAGATCCAGTTATTTCATTTGTGAATTACTATGACTTCTTGCAAAAGATAGCGGAGTGGTTTCCTATTACCCCATCCAATTATTCTTCTCCTAAGCTAGCTGTCACGCAATTGACCCCAGTCTATTATACTATTTAAGCCATGACTGGGGTACAAAGAGAAGCGACTATTGTTCAGGAGAATTTGTTTGAATGTGTATGCGACAGACGAGTTATGGACAAACAGTTTAGCGAAATATTTTATTTGTAGTAATGCTACCACCTACATTCCCTCTGTATTTCAACGGTGAGAAGCAAGTTCCACTCGAACAGCTTCTTTCCGTGAACCACTGCTCTGCGGCGCAGACTCCCAAGAGGATGTTTCCCCGATCACTACAATGTTAAACTGTTCAAATCTTGATTTAATCGTTATCTCCCTCTCCTATACGTAAAAACAGCCTCCTTACTCAACCCCTCTACCTCGAGAGGCCCCCAGGCCTTGTACAGGGCGAACCTTGATATATATATATATATATATATATATATATATATATATATATATATATATATAAAATATATATTCTAGATGCAATCGTCAGGCCACCCTGACGATTGCATATAACATGAAAACAGACTGTCGCCTCCAAGTGTTGACTCAGTGTTCACTTTTATATTTACACACGCTCTATCTCTGATATTGAGCACTTTATCACATAAATATAGCACACCTTAAGACTATTTTTTTTTATATATATATATATATATATATATATATATATATATATATATATATATATATATATATATATACAACCAACAGATACTATTCTTAAAGAGTACTCAATACAGAGTAGAACAAATATAAACAATAAAAAAAAAAAATAATTTAAATAAATTTATAATTTTAAACTTAATATAGATTAAATTTAAAATTGGTAATTTTTAATTTTCAATTTTATAGTATAATTTAATATTTATTAGTTGGAATGAATTCTATTTTAGTCTAACCCTAACATTAAAGCATTAAATAATTATTATAACCAAAGTTCGGTGTCAAGTTTTTTGAATTCTCATATACTTGCATTTTGGTTATGTAACAGCGTTTCCCCATTGCGAGGTGGGGTTAATTGATTTGAACCTTTTAAAACCCTTTATTATACATTCAACCCCATCACTTGATAAGATACCAGAGTGTTGAAACAAAATGGCTATTTTTTGTTGTGATTTTATAACATATTTATGTTATATATATATATATATATATATATATATATATATATATATATATATATATTAAATAATTGAGACAAGTTTTGTCTACTTATTTTTAATAGGATCCTCTCGTAATTTAATTTTCGAATGAACACAACAATTTTCTTTTAGGAAAATGGTGAACAATAATTTTTTGTCTTAGAAAAACAAGACCCTGATGACGACATTGTGTTCTATAATTAGAAAGCGCTGAATATCAGAGATAAAGCTAACATATTTGGTTGTATTGATGTGAGGTTGTGACCCTGGGTTTCACGCTTTTGCGATCGTCAGACAAACTGATTAATTTTTAAAAAAATTTGGGTTTATGTAGATTGCGTGTATTAGTGTTATTATGGAAGTGGGGTGTCATCGTGATGACACTCATGCTAACGCAAACATAGATGCATGTCCGTACACCCGTTGAGGCACGCAGACACACATACACACTCACTCATCCGCCGGGACTCATACATATATAAACATATGAGGACAGTTTCGGATTTGACATATGTATGTATATGGGTGCTGTTGTCTCTATACATACGCATTTGTATGTTGAAATTCAAAGATCGGAAGTGTAGCGAAAATTTCTCGTGAATGTCTCGTGAATGTATGCAGAGCATTATTCTATTTTTTCGCTGAATAATATTTCCTCCCACGCACGTATATACGTGTGGTGTGGGTCTGTGTAAAATTATGATAGATAAAAATTGCTATTATTTTTATTTTTAATTTAAAAAAAAAAGTTTATTTGTTATTTTAAAGCTGGTTATTTCCTTGTTTTTGATGACTGTGTATATGTAACTGGTAGAAATTTCAATTTGTAATCCTTATTGGTTATTTTTAGGGTGGTATTAAATATGCTGGGGGAGGGGGTAGTTTACGTTAATAATTATAGCGGGTTTACATGATAATAGTAGATGTGAAGTGATAGTAATGTTGTAAGGGGATTGGAGACAATGATAATATAAGTAGCTAATAGTTATTGTAAATTGGTAGAAGTGATTAGTAATGGTGGTGGGAGAATGATAAAAACAAGAAATGTAATTATTGCGGTGCTAGCTTGAACTAAAGAGTGATTGTTGGTGTTTTATTTTATTTTATTTCATATATTTATTTATTTTGGTATAAATCCTGGTAATAGGTATTTATTCTTATGCTTACATTTGGAAATTATATCTGATCTTATTGGTTCTTATTTGGTGGTATTAAATATGCTGGAGGGAGTAATTTACATTAATAATTATAGTGAATTTATATGTTAATAGTAGATGTGATGTGGTAGTAATGGTGTTGGGTGTTGGTGGTAATGATAATATTAGTAGTTAATAGTTATTGTAAAGTGGTAGAAGTGATTACTAATGGTGGTGCAATGATAATAACAATAAATGTAATTATTGTGATGGTAGCTTGAACTAAAGAGTGATTGTTGGTGTTTTTTTTATCTGTTTGGTATAAAT